GTTTCTCCTCTTCAGAGACTGTGGTGCTCCACGTCTCCGCCCCGTAGGTCATCGCGGGAAGAACATGCGAGTTGAAGACGTGAGCTTTGACCCAGGGGTCGACGTGCTTAGAAGTTAGTACATCTCGAAGTTTATTGAACGCGGTCCAGCCCGCTCTGCGGCGTCGGCTAATCTCGAGCGTGAGATCGTTATTCATGTTGACCGCTTTACCGAGATATACGTAAGAGGAGACTCGCTCGATCTCCTGGCCTTCTAGGAGGATCGGCTGGTACTGAACTTGTTCGTTGTGCATCCACTGAGTCTTGCCGGGATGAATTTGTAGTCCGATTTTGCCGGCTTCCTGCCTGATGAGGCTCAGGGATTGCGCAATGTCGGCGGGGTCCTCGCCTATCAGAACACAGTCATCAGCGAAGAGGAGATGCGTTAAGCGAACGCCGTCGATGTTCACTCCTCCGGGCAACGAGATTCGCCTCATGATGTTCTCGAGCGCAATAGCGAACAAGTTCGGGGACGTAACCTCGCCTTGTCTGACGCCGCGCCGGATTTGAACACGGACCGGTGTTTTTATGAGTTTGATATCGGTATAACAGTCCGTGTTGCACTGCCGCGTGATTCTAATATAGGGCTCGGGGATACCGCACTCGCGCATGGCGTTGTATACACTCTCATGCTCCACTGTGTCGAAGGCCTTTTTGAAATCGATAAACAGAAGACACAGTGGGGTGCGGTACTCGCGGCAACGTTCCGTCAGCTGTGATATTACATGAATATGGTCAATAGTGGAGAAGCATGAACGGAACCCGGCTTGTTCTACACTCATGTATTCGTCGATGCAACGGCGTATTCTGTTGAGGACAAGGCGGGAGAAGACCTTCAACACCTGGGACAGGAGACATATTGGGCGGAAGTTGTTAAGATCGTGCTGCGGTCCTTTCTTGTGAATGAGCAGCGTAGTAGAGCCCCTCCAAGCGCTCGGGATTACTCCTTCGCGCAATATGCGGTCGAACAACACGCGGAGAGGGTCCACTATCTCCTCAGCCAGCATGGAGAGACTCTCCACTCTCACACGATCTGGTCCCGGTGCCTTGCCCTTCTTCATCTGGCCAAGAGCAGCTAGCACTTCTGCTCGTAGGATCGGTGGAATACCTTCGTCTGATCCGTCACATCGTTTCTCGGTAGGCTCCACCTTTACCTGACTGCCAAAGAGGTTGCTGTAAAAGTTGCAAATCAGCTCGGCCATCTCCTCTTGGCTGTATGTTACGGTACCGTCAGGCCTGGCCAGAGAATCGGGGCAAGTGGTCTTCAGTCTGATCTCCCGATAGGCCCTTTTGACGCTTGTCAATTCTTCGGCTGCTTCGCATGCTCTGCGGGCGGCGTATTCCTTGTAATCATGCTCTACCCGGGCACGGATTTCTTTATTAAGGACGGTTTTTTCGATGTGGCTCATACTAGCAACTTTAGCTTTCCTCGTCCTCAGCAGCTCTAATGTCTCGGGAGTCAGACGCGGTCGCGGTTCAGAGGTGACGCGTGTTGTGGCCTTTATAACGACGCGGTCAACCTCGGCCAACAGGTTTGCGTACTCGTCGTCAACGGTGGCGAATATTCTAGTGGGTTTGCACACCGTGGGGGCTAGCAGTCGGACGATGTCAGAATTGACCTTCGTCTTGATGTTAGACTGCTGGGCTATTGCCCTGAGCCGCCGCTCCAATTTTCCGCTTATTTTGAACGTTGCCCTGAGCAACCTGTGGTCGGACCCGATATTGAACCGCGACTCGCTGATGACCGTCACGTCGTCGAAGTACCTGAGGCTCCCGGCTAGGATATGGTCCAGCGTGTGTTTACCTATCCCATTGGGACTGCGCCAGGTCCACCGCCGCCCCTGTCGCTTCTGGAAGAAGGTGTTGGTTACAAATAGCCTCTCCCGCTCGGCGAACTCGGCTAAGACCTCCCCCGAGGGTTGCGGTCTCCACGACCGTACGGACCGACGAAGCACTCGCCGGGACGGCCGCACCCGGTGACACCATTGAAATCGCCGGCGACGATAACTCTGGCGCCACGGGGTTTTGTGCGGATGGCTTCTGAAATTTGTTCATAGAAGTCCTCGACAACGGCGTCATCGTAGGCGCTGGTGGGAGCGTATGCGTTCACAACGAGGATCAGCGTTCGGTCATCGACCCGCACTTGGAGAAGTGCCAGCCTCTCTGATCTTATTTCACATGATACCACTCTGGGCGTCATGCGGGGGCTGATGACAAAGCCCACTCCGCCCACTTTTCCATTGCTTGCTCCAGCACCGAGATGCACCTCGTGCCCCCACGTCCACGAGCCGGGTGCGCGCCTTCAACAGATGTCGATGCTACATTTGTCGAGCTCGCCAATGAGGTGGTCAATCTTGGCATCCGATGTTAAAGCTCGAACATTGATGGTACCAAAATAGGCGTACAGATACTTGTCGACTGCGAGATTTCTCCCCCTCTGCTTCACCCTCTGTACATGGGATCCGCTGCGCAGGACTGAGGGTACATTATTTTTAGGACCTTTCATAATGTGCTAGTGGCCAGAGACTGCCCACCGCCTAGCCTATCCTGGCGGAGAGCCCCCACTGCCGTATGTAAGGGCCGTCTCTCGGGCCGCCACCCTTTAGCCTACTTCCTGGCGAGGAGTTACGGCTACCCCCTCTTTTGCAACCAGAAAGCGTTTCCGCCCCCACAGCGCGACGAGCTGTGGGGCGAAAACGCTTTCTTGCAAAAGACATACGTACATACAGGGGCCAAAAAAAAGAGACACTTCACTTCACATTCAAAACGGAATTATTTACGCGTCGCGAAACCAAACCAAATGACCCAACTGAATATTGAAGAGCACGTTATAATCTATCAACAAGCTACACAACAGCCTTCTACACCGACGACATCAGAAGATTTTCCCACGGAAGCATTGTGCACGGTACGAGCTCAACGATCACAACGTCTCTGGAAACGCAGGTCAAAAGCGGTTTTGCATAGTCACAGCTAATGTCTCTGGGAAGCTATTCAACAGTTAATCCATTGAAGAAATTATGTAGCAGCTTCAGGTCGGAGCGATTACGGTAAGCCTCGTTGAGCTCGACGGTGACGGCAGATGACGTCATATTCTGAAGACGGCGGGGGCAGTGAAGGAGGGCCTGCTTCTGTTTACGGGGAACACCTAAGGAATATTCGCCGTAAAACTTTCATTAACATCGGCTCCCTGTGCGACGAAAGTTCGATGATGTTGCGCCATGGGCTTAGGTGTACGTTTTTTTTAGCCACCCTGTATACAGGGGTTGGCCCCAAAAAAGAGACACTATAGATCATGAGCATCTCTCAGCCGAGGCTTCAGGCATATCACGTCATCTGCCGTCACCGTCGAGCTCAGCGAGGCTACCGTAATCGCTCCGACCTGAAGTTGCTACGATGATTAGAGCCGATGGTTAATGAAAGTTTTACGGCGAAATATTCCTTAGGTGTTCCCCCGTAAACAGAAGCAGGCCCTCCTTCACTGCCCCCGCCGTCTTCAGAATATGACGTCATCTGCCGTCACCGTCGAGCTCAACGAGGCTTACCGTAATCGCTCCGACCTGAAGCTGCTACATAATTTCTTCAATGGATTAACTGTTGAATAGCTTCCCAGAGACATTAGCTGTGACTATGCAAAACCGCTTTTGACCTGCGTTTCAGAGACGTCGTAATCGTCTATGGTATCTCAACGACCTCGTTGAGCTCGTACCGTGCACAATGCTTCCGTGGGAAAATCTTCTGATGTCGTCGGTGTAGAAGGCTGTTGTGTAGCTTGTTGATAGATTATAACGTGCTCTTCAATATTCAGTTGGGGTCATTTGGTTTGGTTTCGCGACGCGTAAATAATTCCGTTTTGAATGTTGAGTGAAGTGTCTCTTTTTTTGGCCACCCCTGTATATATATATATATATATATATATATATATATATATATATATATATATATATATATATATATATATATATATATATATATATATATATATATATATATATATATATATATATATATATATATATATATATATATATATATATATATATATATATATATATACACCATTATCGAAATGAGATAAGGCGTGACTACGGGTTCACGTGGCGGGCGCCGCACTTGATGGAAGCTGCGCGAATAAGCTGCTTCCAGCATTTTTTGTGATATCATGTTATATCAGCATGCTATATACAGCCTATCCTCACGATTCTATCAAGTGCATCAACGGGCACATTAAATCAGTAGACACGTTTAATTGTGAATTCGAGATATGGATATGGACTGCACATACAAACCGACAGACCAAGTTAGGGAGGATGATGAACAGTTCGCGTGCCGAGGAACTGTTTTGTAATTACCGGGCTCTTCGACAATTCTTCGAGTTTGCTGAACTCCTCTTCAAAGCCACGGTTAGGAATGAGTGCTAAGAATAAGTCGAAAAAGGGGGGTCCCTCAAAGCAGAGGAGCGCACTGTCGCGAATTGCCTTGGGTGCAGGCGTGCTGTCATCCCTGACAATCACGGCGTACATGACGTCCGCTCCCTCAAGCGTTTCTCTTTAATTGTAGCGATGTGCTTCACCGTTATAACATGGTCGACCTCACAAGGGCAGGTTTCAGTGTATTCTGTGACGCTTTTTGCTTTTTCTCCCCGAAATGGTTCGTCATTGCACTTCTTGTCTAATTTTCAAACAAAAAACACATCATTCGATTCCCATGGGTTTAAGCAAACGAACTTTGGCTCTTGATGCGCGAGAGCTTCACAAGACGACCTTTGGAAAACACCTACTAAACTCCACAACACCTCACCACTGGATACTTCAGCCCTAACGCTTCACAAGCCTCCCAGGGTCACGCAAGCCCACTGGCCTACAGAGCTAAGCTGGTGAATGTACACAAGTGTGTGTTCGAATGTGTATTGATTCTTTCAATACTATTATATTTTAAGACTATTCGCTTCAAACTGACTGGATGCAGTATGGTCGCTCCTTTCTGAGTCATCCTATTTTCTTCCTTCCACTGCTTATTCCTATGCTGTGGTTTCGTTTTCCGACCTTTGATCTTCAACTCTATATTACCATTGCAACGACGCTTCTTCTTTATGCTGGCCATAAGAACGAGGTTTTTTCTTGAATCATAAACAGTTCGATGTATAGCATAACAACAGCATTTTTTTCTGCTTCGTTCAACTTCAAAAGCAGCGATACATTTTTCGTGAAAAAAGCAAATATGATGGAAGAATAAATGTGAATTAACTGCTGATCAAGTAAAGTTGACCGAGCAGCTCTTCTTCTTGACTGTACTTGTGGTTGGGAATCGATTTTTTGTTCCCCAAATGCAGCATTCAGTGTAATGGGAGGAAATGATGAAGTATGGACACTCGCGTCCATGTCCTCTAGTTGGCAAAGATTAACTGGCGACTTGACTTTGCGGTATCCGTCAAATCGCGTGTGATAGCATAATCAACCGAGTTTGAAAGTGTAAAAGAAACTAAATAGGTCTATTGAAAGATCTCACAAGTAATGTGCAGTGCCATCAGTTTTTCGAAAATATCTTATTTGAGCAAATGTCAATCTACAAGGTATGTGTCATCTTCAACTTACAATTAATTGGCTCTCCTACTGGGAGACCATTGAAACCGCTCCGGGAAAACTGCTGTCCTGTTCCAGTTCAGCATTCTACCCTAGTGCGTGTCATCCACAGAGCTGATAATTTTCCATTCAAATGATACTCCAAGCTGGGAAATGGTGATGAGATAGTGCAGATGAACATCCATGGAGGATGGCGTTCAATTTAACGTTCAAAGTTGCTTACCATTTACGGCGTCATCATTGTCAACGTGGCCGAAAAGACAGGATAGTTGCTGCGACGTCCACTATTCCAGTGCAGGTTTTCCACTGGATTTGAAGTGCCGCTAAATGGTCGAGTGGCAGAATGGGAGTGCTCCGCTTAACACCTCATTAAGAACGCTAAAATCTTCCTCAGCTACCCTTCGCGAGCATCCTGGAAATTCTTCTAGAACAGAGGTCTTAGAGGTAGTAGTTTCTAGGATGAAACTCCTGGAACAATTGCATGCATGCCTCGCAGTTGCCCGTGCCCCCCCCCTATGATTTGTCAATATATGAAACTGTTTCCTTAATGTTGCTGCCTTTCTAAACTTTAATGACAGTCCTCCTTAGCAACTTCCAATTTATCGTCATGAAATTATGAAGTTATGCGAATGTTCAAATGTCAGCTTAGGAGCGATGCCTTCATCTCGCTCCATCATCACGCATCAAGGTGTTTAGAGCCTTTGTAGTGTTCTTCGCAGACCATGCCAAGTTTCCCACTAGCATAATCCACTGTTTCATCTCCACTAGTCCAACCATTTCCACGTCCTCACGAGACAATCTGCCAGACTTTAGCTCCGTTTCCATTAGTCCCACGGAACAGCGGTCGAGCAGTGGTTGGTAAAATATATCTAAGAAACTACAGAGACAACTTCCTGGAGTTTCCGCTAAATCGAAAAGACTGTAGCGAAACTCCACCATTATCATGAAGTAAGGCAGTTCACGTTGGATAATAATTCAGTCATATCTTCTGGGCAGAACCCCATCGGTGCAACTATCCTCTTCGTGCGGGGGACAAAGTTAATAGAACCCAGCTAGGTGGCACAAGACAGCCATTTCGTCCTGGCTCACATCTGTTTGCAATAAGCGGTCAGTCACCTACCAAGTGCCACCATATACGGACCCCATACCCAATCGTCAACTAATACAGTGCGTTTCATGAATATGAGCTCACCCTTAAATTTAGCATTCCTAGAAAGAGCAGTAATTTAGGAATTTTTCTAGCATCATCAACGATTCTCCAGCACGAATAACTCACGTATCCCACGTTTCGCAGCAGCACCATATTTCTGAACTTTGGCACCGTTTCATAATTATAATCTCTCTCTGAGAATATGAACAATATCCCAAAGGACCAACAGAAGGTGTTCACAGAAGTGAATACCTGTCACTAGCAAGTCTTTGAACTTCATTTTCGGGAAATTTCGTGGTGGTATCTTGAAGAAGTACCGAGATTTATGCATTTCGACTTGCTGGGCTCGACACAAGAGTGGTTGCCAAATATGTTGGAGAAGTTCTCGCTTATTCCAAGGATGTTTGAAGCGCTACTAGGTCTTCAGGGCTTCTACTACTTTTGCACACTCACATCAACTATTCGAGAAGAATTTTGGAGATAATTCCAAACAGTACCTTTGTTATATCTAGATTCGCTCGTTGAGAAAGGCTCTCTTAGGGTGAGAAGAAGCAGAGACATTGTCAGCGAGGCGGTGAAGATTGGCTCACTGGCTTCAGTAGAATTGCACGTCTCCATTTCTCAAAATGGAACGAAGATAGAGGCGATAAATGTAGACCTTCGTCACGATGGCACCGCACACCTTAATAGTAGTCTCATTGAGATTGTTTTCTTCCTGAATGATGAAGCATAATGTTGGCAGTTTTTGCGGAAGCAAGCGCTTTCGAAGTAACTTTCGAAAGCAAACCGTTTGGTTTAGCGTCGTCATTTCGATGGAAGAAGTGTAAAGTCGTGGTTGCTTCCTGCAGTGATATTGATGATAATTCCTTTGTGACCTGCGAAATGGATTCCACGGATCACCAATAAGTCCAGCGGCAACATCTATGAAAACATTCTATGCCTGCGGCGTCGGAAACTACTTTGCAACATTCAGAGTAACGCTTACTCAAGATTCTTTTGTAACGCGATTCGATACCTTGTTTATTGAGTGCTGACCAGAACTTCTCTAGTTCAACTGAATCGGAGGCCTTACTATGATCTATGAAGGTTAGTACTAGTGGCTCGTGATATTCTTCTTCAATGATTCCACAGCAAGCTATGATGTGGTTAAAGTAGTATGTTCCCGTCGGAAGCCTGCTTGTTCACCTGGTTGGGCTTCGTTCAATTTTATTCTTACTCGGACTAATAAACAACGTAAACACCCTATACAATACCGGTAGGAGCGTTATGGGTCTGTGTTGGTCCAAGTCCTTCTTATCTGCTTTCCTGAACAGCGAAATTGCCTTGGATCTCTTCCTTTCTTTCCTTCCGACGTCGGCTTCACATGAAAAGTGGACCAAAATATGTTGAGCGTTGAGACAACAGAACGTATGAACGAGAGGGAAAAGCAGTATATTGAATCAGCAATAACCTAGCCAGACCGGTGTTAGGACTTGAGAATTTAGTGAATCGCAAAGATGTGTCAGCAGCTAGTGCATCGTTCGAGCCATGCGCATCACTCGTACCCTGCAATTCGCTAGCGACTCGCTGGATTCGCAGAGTCTGACACAAGTTCTACGTGTCCCTATGCGCAGTGAACAGAGAAGTAGCTATGATGATGGCAGAAAGCTCTCGTCGTGCACTTCCAAACGGCTGTAACTGCACATCTGCTACTGTAATGGATAGCTCTGTGCTTCTCACTACAGTGATCAGTCCACGATTCCATCCTGAGATGGTGCATCAACGGAGCCTCAGTTTCTTTGATGGGATATTCTGCCTTGCTTCATACGCACCATCCTATGGGAGCCATGAACGATTTTTCGCGCTTCGACGGTATCTGTGAAAGTGCTGATCCGATAATGGCTGGTTTGCTTTCCTTGCATAATCTCCATTAATACTACAGTCGTTGCATGACTTACGGGATCGCCAAAGGGAGTCCCAAAATCGGTTCTCCATTTGTTTCTTCCAAGCAGGGTCACCGATACGGAGGAGGGGAGGAACGCATTTAATTTATGGGAAGAACGCGGGGCAAAAGCACATGTCAGCTACTGAAATCGTGGCGGTGTCGACTTTTCTCGTGGACAGGTGGGGAAGTTTTTCCTCTGGTTTAGGTTGAACACAACAAGAATCGGAACGGCCGGCATTTACCATCCATGGTAAGATTGAGAAGACTTTCGAATGTTTAAATCTTTTTCAGCGGTCTCAAAACTACTTGCGTGAGCTTTGTGCATTCTAGAGTAGGAGATGTTAGTGGGAAACACCTCAAATTTGATTTATCAGCAGCGAAAAGATTGCACTGGAGAAATATAGATGTTTTTACATACCACACGGCAAGAAAATACACCGACATGAGAGGATTACTTCTCGTGACTTGAAAGAACAAGATTTACAAAGGGATTCACATAGGAAAAATTTGTGGTTTTACAAAATGTTTCCTGCACTTATCAGAATGCATACACCTCATCGTTTTCTACCGGAGCGTAAATTTTGCAAGAAATGATTTTTGATACCGTGCTAGTTCAGCGAGAACTTTGCAAAAAGTGATCCCTGAGGGGCTAGTTCCGAGTAAAAGTGTCATAGCCTCTAGTTTTTTCTCTCAGCCGACAGCTCACAAAGAGTTGCCTTGAAACAGAGCTGCGTTTGTCATGCGCGTAAATACTGTTCAATTGGATTCTGCACACTAGCTCGGACTTAATCACGCTGTTGTTTCAGGTTTTCCCATTCATCACAAATCGTCTTGCTGTGAATTTGGGCAAGATCTCTTATCCTTTATACATGGCTCACTGGCCAGTTTACTCGTTTACAAGATATTACACTGATATAGTACATAATGGTAAGTATTATTTTGGACTTACGTTGTCTTGTTAGCGTTTACCTGGATATGGCTTTTGCCGCTGAACGTCGTTGCGAAAAAAATTGTGCCACGAGAGTATTCAAACGCCCAGGATCGAGAGTGCTCGATGATGAAGATAGGAATGCTTAGACCTCTAATCAAAAAAGGGAAGATAGAAGAACACAAGCATCTTTGCTCTACAGTGTGCACTGAGGCAAAAACCGTCACCGCCCATGGCACATCACCAAACTTTTCGTCGCGCAGGGTGCCGCTGCCAATTAATTTCGAACCGTCCTTGGAGCGGATTTCAAGTGATAAATACATAGAACATACCAGATGATTCTGATTCATTGAGAAAATTTTAAAGTCAAGTTCTTCAGACGTTCTTCTAAGGCCATACTTACAAGGGAGGTCTTTCAGGGCAAGGTGCGCTTTTTCAAAACGGTTTTGTGCATATTGTAGGGACGCATGTAGGGAACGCAAAACCATGTTTCATTTTCGCTGAACGGTTATAGCAGTACCAAAAAAGAAGCATAAGGTACTGTTAAGGGTTCGATCCCCCGTGGCGACTAAATTTTGCATTTGGGTTGGCGCCTACGGTTTGGTGCCAAATTGCGTCGTCAGGACCATTTTGAAGCCAACAAAGTGGCCGCCAACCTTGATTGCAAAATTTAGTCGCCGCGGGGGATTGAACCATCAAGAGTATTATTCACCACTTTTTTGGTACTACTAAACCGTTCAGCGAAAACGAAACATGGTTTTGTGGTCCATACATGCGTCCCTACAACATGTACTAAACCGTTTCCAAAAAGCGCACCTTGCCCTGAAAGACCTCCCTTGTTAGAGCGTCATACTCGCTAAACTCAAAGATGCAGTGATTTTTCTGCAGAAGTTTTTTTTTCAAATTCCGTACAGAATGCTTTATGCTCTTTCACGGTTGCTTCATGTTGCTGCGTAGACGACAGAGATTGCTGAGGGAAAAGCCATACTGTCACACTTCGTAACATGTTACAGCGCAGGGCACATGCAGCAAGCACTTCACAGACCATGACTTACAACGCGGAACGTAGTATATGCTTTGCTCCCACTACATTAACTTTACACACGCAAATCATTTATGTTTTTTCGTACTGTGCCAGAAACCTTAACATAACTACCAATGTAGCGGCCTACAGAATGGTCATGCACGCTTTAAATTATAGGAGAATTTCTGAAGCTTACAGAAATCCTGGTTTAGATCTACATATGCCTTGGAAGTCATCGATGCACTTGGAAGTGGTGCATAGTTCGATCCGCTGATACACAGCTCAATTCGCTGGTGCAACGCTCGGATCCCACGATTCGCTAGCTAAGTCTGACATAGGCCGAAATGGAACCTCTCTGTGTTCCAGATGACCCCCGATAATGAAAGGACGACTATGTAAGGGGTCATTTGCACGTGCTACCCACATTGCCATTACACTGCCAACAAAGAGGAAATTGGCCTAATTCGCTGCACCTAGCCATCTTCGTTCGCGAAAAGACCACATCTCGCTTTCTGGTCCTGTGTTACTGCTTGCAACGATGTACGTGGGTACTTCAGTGCTGCAAAGGTACTTTATCGCAGTCCCTTGCTTTGAGTGATATCGTACCGATTTTTTCATAGCGATGTCTAACTATATTACACGTCGAATCACATTCACCAAAACCTCATTTACGGATGTCAGAACACTCAGTAACATCAACTAACCAATTTGTCCACCCTATCTTCTTCCACTCGCTGTGCATTATACAATTAAGATTGACTACCTTCACCAATAACATCTTCACAGCGCTTGTATGCTCATCAGTTGTTTCTCTATCCCATATGTCTGCGCAGCAAAGTGCCTTTGCTTCTTCTCAGTGCAAAGTACCAACGGTGAACGAACGCAGAACGCTTTATGTTTCTACGGTAGTAATTAGGTATGCAGCCGACTAGCGCTTATTGACACAAGAATGTAACTTCCGTAGGTCGGCAAACCATCACCATAACCCCTTGGCGTCAGATAAACTGTGTTGTGCACATGAAGCGCACACCACACCGCAATTCACGCCAAATTCACCACCTTGAGATTTCGGTGGTCGTGTCGCATATTCCTCACCAAGTTTGATCCTTGAATCGCTATTCGCGAGTAGGACATGGTGAGGTTGTGTACTTTGGAATAGTAGTTGTTGAATGAATGGTTAGTGAAGTAAATGGTAATGTTTGTTGTAGGTACGCTTCATAACACCCATTTAATTATGCTGGTTTTTGAATCTTTTTTCTTGACAAGTTGAGTCACTGTCCTTATTTTCCGATTCCGATTTGTTTTTTATTTCTTATCACAATCAAAATCAATGAGTAATGTGAGAACAGAGCGTTCGCGTTAAGCGCGGTCACGTTCGCATCAAATCGAACTAATTGTCGGCAAAAATCAGGAGAAGTTACACAACTTGTTCCTTTTCAAAGTTTTTCAAACATTATTGGCGATCATATATCCAGCATTATTTCTTACGTATCGCTTTACGAATTTGTTGAGGAATATATGCCAAAATATGGGCTGCAAAGAGATGACATGTTCATAACAACAAAGGTGCAAACAAGGGAGTGCTACTAACTGGGCTGAAGAAAGTATTATGGGATCATTGAAAAGACTTCGGACCTCGTCAGCTATACTGATTCTGAATATGTACCTGAACTCCTACTCAACTTCTCTGGACCTTAGGAACGCAACGATTTATAAGCCTGTGTAGGAATGAATACCCAGCTGATTGCGCAAGCATGACTGTGCACTTGTAAGTGGCCCCATGTCAACTTTTATTAAAGATCTTCTGCGCGCAAAAATGACCATGCTCTGCGCTCTACAGAATGATTTGTAGAGCTCTGGAAGAGAATTTGTAGGGCTCGCTCAGCATGTTATGAATATTCTAAAAGATCACGAGGAATATGTACAGGACAGGACTATGTGTTAATTTTCATTCGCACTATTAAAGTGTACATTATTATTCAAAGGCATAACAAGAGGTTTCAAATCTTGAAAAACCCTGTGTTGTCCCATTAGGGATTTCTTAATTTCTTTTCACCAAGATTTGAGATCATTTAAGAATTGCGGACAGATCATTACAAGATCGGCTTCGGTTGAACCATACGTTTGGGGCTGGATGGCGAATCGACGTACACCCATGAAGACGTTACCAAATCAGAGAAATTCATCAATGGATGAGCAAATCTGAACAGTGAACGTTACCAAAATAAAGGAATTCATCAACGGATGAGCAAATTTGAACAGTGAATAATATCTCCAAAATACTGTCATTATAAGTGATACCTGAATGAGGACAAGAATTGCAGGGGGTGACGCGGACAATGAACGACAATAAAAACACGACCTGAAAACAAGCAGGTTAGCCTTAGTCTTGCACCTAATAAGGGAGTTTATGAGTAAATCCTACCTACGAACAGTTCTCAACAACAGAGCAGCGAAAACCATCATCGAATGGGCACTTAGTGCCTTCACCACTGCAATCATCATGTGCCCATTTTTGGCACACGTCACATTTGAGCCAGAGCGTATTTTCCTTATTGGAAGGATCTTTTAGGTCTCGTCTGAAGCATATCGTGCAGAAATTGAGCTCATCTGGTGAATATATGGGCAGAGGTTCCTGTTCCATTTTGATGGTTTTTTTTCTTTTGAGATGACCTCTGCAAAAAAAAGCACGGAAGACACTTTTAGACAGAAAGAAGACGGAAAGGCACGCAAGAAACCATTGTAAAAGCTATTCGTGTCATCCGTCGTGAATAATTTCGGATCAAAGTTTGGGACCTTGCCTTTGATTGTGACGAATAGCTTGTAGACTTCATCTTCGGTCATCCTGGAACAGCTCAATCCCATCATGACCGGGGCACGCAAGTAAAAAAGTACTACCTGTTTGATAACAGATAAGCGCCTGGAAGGCCCATATCGTACTGGTCTGCGACAATTACCGTCGCCAGTCGTAAAGAGTATCTTGTAAGATTGAAGGTATCGTCTATACAGATACCACGACGGCTATATTTTCCGAGCCACGACTGTTGCACCAGGGTAATCACAACTGAAACTCATATTGATAACAAGGCTTGGAATAAACCGACATTTATTCCAACGAAGACCATACCAAGTAGGAAGCCATCACCAGTTTGATCCGTAGCGCGTGTATAGCATTCAATACCGTCATCTGAGGAATTTTCATTAATTCTCATTTCGACTGACTCCAGATCAATTGCGTGTCTTTTGCCCGGTTCCATGTTGCTCCTTTGGGCAATATTTTTGAAAGACCTCCTTCGAAGGGCAATAATTCATTTTCTTAGGCATAAATCACCTCACGTCCATTGCTGTCGTATAGTACAGGCGCATGCGTTTCTCCTGATTTCGACACTCCGTTCTGATTTTTCGTAAAATTTGATTCGTGTTGTACCCTTCTCTAAGCAGTCCAACAATGTATCTCTCTGAATCCTTATCGAGCCTTAACAGTGCAGGCTCTTCTTCATGACCGAAGTGCTTGTTGCAGAATGTGACTGTGATCATGCTATCACTTTCGAGTACCTAAACTCGCTCGTCACTATTTAACAGCAATCCGCAAAACGCTCACAAACGCACCTTCAAGAATGCGGTGCAATACCGTGTGGACTTTTTCGATCTCCCTCCTCGGGTGAGTGCATACATAGGGAACGGCATTGCTCGACTGCAGCGGTAATAGGTAAGTTTCCCATTCTCAGAAGTATAGACGGATGTTGTTGCCCATTGTAGAATACTCTGCCGCTCCTCGTTCATGCGCCATGTCTGAAGCCGAAGAAGAGATTCAATGACCTACTTATTCTCGACAAAAAAACTACCAACTTCGTAATGACTCTTCTCCGCGAAAATCAATTTTTTAACAACATATTCGTCCTTGTCGTGAGCGTGTGAACGTTGTACGTGTTACACTAATTCAGCGTGATCCTGAACTCGCATGTTCCAACAGTCTTAAACTTTAAGCTAAGAAATCAAATGACGCTGACCTTCACGTCCTCCTCGCAAAGGGAACATTGGAGGTAATTCTCTGCAGCATGGCGAGGATGTTTGCGCGTATTGTGTGACATCAAGGCTTTTTTTGATGAAAACGTCAGATCGCAGATGGCAGATGTGAACGGACTGGTCACTCAATAAGAGCCTTTGATCCCTTTTTTCTTTTTAAAGTTCTCAATATCGTCTTGAATAAGCATGGCTGGTGAATAAGTGATTGTGTAGCTTATATCCATGAGCGAACTCCCGACCGCATTTATGACAAGTAACTTCCATGTCCGGGACTCTCATCTAAACACAGGATTAACGAGTTAGTTTTAATCTGACAAAGATGGAACCGAAAAAGCGCGCTCACCAGATTCCGAGCGTTACTTAAAAGTTCACAGATTTCTTTGAAGTTCAAGAAACATTGGTTCTCCTGCTAGTGCACTCGAGGCTTAGTCAGACACAACGGCACAATAATACAAATTCCACCTGAAAGTCGAGAAGAATGTAAACACAAAAGTCGTAAAATCGACCCGTCAATTTCATTCTGTCTGCGAAATTACGTAAATGATTCACTTTGACTACTAGGCGGAAGCCCTCCAATCAGCCCCGAGAGAACTCTCAACTTCAGCGTAGCGCCCAAGAGCGCACTGCTGATCACAAGAACCGATTTTGAGATAAAACTGCGGTATGTTGATGGTCTAAGGAGTAGGATTCAAAGCGCGAATCAGTCTCTGACCGTACCAGGCCCCGATGCCACTACTAATTGAGTTAACGTTTCTTCTGTTTTCATTTCGCTCGTAGATCTTGGCAAAGAGAAGCCAAACTAAGCATATCTAACGAACGAACTTCTTCGTATCTGTTTGTGGAATACTTTCGGCTGTAGTAGGCATGCTAACGATAAGACATCCTTCTAATTTTATAAAGCGCTAACTTTGTG